TGCGCCTAGCCGCCGCCATGCTGTCTATCCGTCTTCTCTCTCGCAGTCACAAAATGGCTGGTGGCGGAAGCTTGCGGCAGAGGGGCGGGGCCTGTGTAGCCGGTGTCCTGGAGCTTGTAGAGCCCAGACAAAGGAGGCTCGGGGAATCGTGACTACAAACCTGCGCAGCCTGCTTCTCTACATCCTATTGTGTGCGGCCACGTTCCCCTCCCCCCACGTCTATCCACAGCGCCCGGCTTCTTCCCAGCCGCACGACGGAGTCGCGTTTTCTTCCGTAAGTTCGGTGTGTACATGTGCCTAATACTTGGGTAATGGCATGCGCCCCCGGCACCTTATAAGAAAACGAACTCTGCTTTTATTTGTACAAATCTACAACTAAGATCAGCGATCAGGGCTGGTTCACATAATCATGTGTTCTGGATGCATTTTGCATGTGTTTTTAGGCCTGGTTCACACCACAAAAATGCACTCCAGATCCTTTCCGGAAATGTTTATGCATGTGTGATTTTGATGCATTCCAGTGTGCTTTTTGTTTTTGATGAGTTTCAGGATACTTTTTATTTTTTTAATTTTTTACAGGTCCAGCGTGGGTTTTATGCGGTTCTGTGTGTTTTTGCTGCATTTCACCATGTCTGAGTAGAATCCAGTGCAGAAAAAAATGCAGCATGTTTTGCCTGGGTGCACACTGTGGTGCTGGTCACTGCATGTCATTTGCACAGGAATCGCACCACTTTACTGTGAATTACAGGCAAATGTTCGGTGCGATTTGACTCATGCACTTTAGCGCAAGTCACATTTGTACCTTTTGTTCCTTAAATCTGCACCTGAATCACACTGCATGGGTGTACTCACCCATGCAGTTGTGTTTTGCGATCTGTTTTAGGGTGCCATTAATTTATCATTTGACACCCGCACCAGATCGCGTGAATGTGTTTCCAATGCGGTGTGGGGGAAACAGCGTTTCCCGCACCGCATTGGTGTGAACCTGATCTTTACTTTTTTTTTTCCCCTGGAACTGACTGCACCAATGGACTACATGTGTGAATTGGTGCTTTCTCTTTCTTGTATTTTGGCACATGAAAAATCTCAGGACAGTGTGTTGCAGTGCGTTTTTAGTGCATTTACACGCTTTTTCTGCATTCCCGATGTATTCCGCACAGAACAAAGCAGCAGGTTCTGCTTTTGTTGGCTGTACCAGTGTGAACTAGGTCCATTGGAATACATATAAAACATTTTTGATACAGTCCAGCGCATTTTTATTCTGCATCTGGTGGCGAACCAGACCTTAGGATTAGTTGACGCTAGAAACGCAGTTCGGGTGTTTCTGCATGCCTGTTTTGATGCGTTTAATTTTTTTTTTCTTTAAAATAGAGACGTGTGTTCTGCTGCATTAGTGATGAGTTTTTGCTGCGTATCAGTACAGTTCAGTGCAGAAAAAAATGCTGCATATTTATTTTTTTTTTCCCTGTTGCACTAAAATTGACAGTACTGGTGTGAACTAGGCCATTGGATCCCATACAACCTACTGTTTGTTTTTATGCGGGAAAAAACTGCACTGGGTTGCATCTGGTTCGTGTCTTTGCGGGGGGTTCCTGCAGTGGGTCCACACCTATTGCCACAGCCACCTGCGCATAAATCCACACTGGATGTGTACGGGTACTATTAATCCTACTGGTACGTACTGGAAACCACACTGCACTCGCTGTGCAAAGATTTCTAAAACTGTATTTCCCAGTGTTTCAGGAGGCACAGAGCCACTTGTGTGTGTGTGAACCTAGCCCGAGCCTTGGTTCAGATATGTGCAGCTCTGCGAGACATGGTTTGTGAAGGCATGGCAATCCATTCATCTGATTGGGCTACCGTGCCACCTGAAACACAGGGAAATGGTCCCTGCACTGTTTTTGGAATCGCAGCCTGAACAGGAACTGCAAGTACAGAGTGGTTTCCAGTGTGGGCAGCTTGCCTACATTGCACTGTGCGGCTGCCTGAACAAGTGCAGCCCTGCAGCAGCAGTCACCCGCACAGGGTAGCCTTGGTGTGCAGAAAGCAGTTGTTTGTTAAGAGTTTTCCACAGAAGTATAAGCTATCTGTGAAGGTTCTCATTCATTCAGTTTGTAGTGTATAGCTAGTAGTTGATTATGTTCAACTGGATATTTGTTCTGTATTAAGATATTTGTCCACACCACCAAGTAACTTCTTTCCTTCAAATTATATTTAGAAATATACTGTAACATTTATAAACATGTGGGTAACTTGCCTCAATTCGGTCCCCATGGAATTTGTCGAGGCAGATATTTGTTGTCTGCGAACATAATGGGAGTAAAATGTTACACATTTATCAGCTTTTTTTTTTATGTATCCAAAGGACATAAAGCAGCCATTCTGAATATATCACCATAGGGTGGTGGGGGTAGGGGTTTTTGCATTTCAAGTTATATACAGGTTTGAATGATTGGACCCTGAACCCTTAATCAGACTTGCAGATTAGTGAGTTTGATGCAGGTAGATTTTCATAGGTTGGCAAGCTCGTAATGTCATCTAGAAGTCCCACCCACCGTATTGTTGTATTATAACCTTGTCGAGGAAGTTAGTTTGCTTCATAGTGTGTACAGCATGTGTGTCAGAAAGATATCAACCATGATCTCTTTTGAATTGCAACTTATAGATTGCTGCCACCACTTTAAAAGTTCATTGAAGGAAGATGGAGACAGAGCAGGAAGAGGTTGAATTCACTAACACAGAGACCAACGGTAAGACCTATATTCATCCATATTTTTTTTTTTTTTTTGTGATTTTGATGTGTGGTGCTTTGTATTGCAGAATTATACAATATTTTGCTATAGTTTATTTTAATTTATATACTGCGACTTGTGCATTATTTAATGTGTAGTATTCAGAACATTTTTTTTTTTTTTTTTCCCAGGTAAACGTCCAGCTGAAGACATGGAAGAGGAACAGGCTTTCAAGAGATCTAGAAATACGGATATGATGGTTGAACTACGTATCCTGCTGCAAAGCAAAGTATGTTTGCTATTTATAAATGCAAAGAAATGTTTGCAGTTGCAGGAACACAACTGTTATTATAGGAGGTAGTTTATTGGATGTAATTTGTTTTCATTGACTTGCATAATAAACAAATGTTTCTCTTTCAGAATGCAGGGGCTGTTATTGGTAAAGGAGGCAAAAACATAAAAGCACTTCGGACAGACGTGAGTGTTTTTAACATACCTTGGTGATTTGTTCAATGTTTTATAGTTTTAACAATTTGCAGACAAGGTTCACCATAGGAACACTTTATTATTTCTTTAAAATATAGTAGCTTTTAGCATCATAATCCTAGATTTAGGCAGCTTGTGTTCCAGAACTTGTATGTTTTCAATGACTATATATTTTTAATGACTATTATATATTTGTCATGTTAAATAGTATTTATATACTTGGCATACATTAGGTTTTAGCTTTTAATTTTAACCGTTCAGTAGGTCGACTCTTGTGGTTAGACACGTGACTAATCTTTCTACATTGTTACTATGCAGCTGCGAAGCAAAATTTTCAAATAAGCCCTGAGGACTTGTTGTTTTCTTACACTGATTGTTTTCAGCTTGCATGTTTCAAGTGTAATGTTTCACATAAACCATCTTATTTACGTTGGTAATGTGCTAGGTATTTTCCTTTTTGGAGAATTCACAACCCCTCTAAAGATTGAGGCAATGTGTCTACACTCACGAGCCAGCCTGCTATAGTTAGACGACATATGATGCACCTACTGTAGATGTTAAATGCCTTTTTAAAGTGCTGTCACAGTAGATAAGTTCTACATTTATTGTATTACAGTATGCCTTAGTACCATAAAGTTTAATTGAGAACTGACTCTAGTTTGTATTAAATTAAAATGTATTGCTTTTCCCCCCTTTTCCCTCTCCTTGTTTTTTTTGGCCACATATCTCCGTTGCCCATGTACTGGATCGTCTTGCCCCTGCGTTGCCCATCATGACGGCCCATCTACCCCTGAACGCCCATGTGAAAACCCTGGTTGGCTATGCCCAAAAATGTGCTCGTTGCCCAACGGGCACTTTTCCTGACATCTTCTGATTGAATGCCCATGCCCAATGCCAACATCCACGATCGCCAATGACCAATGCAGTACAATGCCAGTGTTTCAGTCCCAGACAGCAGTGGCCCCGAGCGGTATGTCCCAACAGTTTATGCCTCACTGCCTGATTAGAAAGAGAAATGTATTATAACCTGCCTTTTAATATGATTAGTTTTCCCCTACATAGTGTTTTATTTTCTGTCTTCTTTTTCCCATTGAATTTTTTTTTTTTCCTGTCTCCTTCCCTCACTGATCTTCTACGTAAGTTATGGTCTTTGGATCCACTAATTTCGATAGAAAAAGGGGAACAAGCTTAGCTTCAAAATTGTTTATTTTTCACATTATACATGTAGCTGTTTTCTAAGTTTAAGTGGTTTCTGTCTTCGTGGCCCACCTGACTCCTTCAGCATTGCCTGTTTCATTTTTCTTTTCTAATGAAGTGCTAACTCTTAATCACTCTTCACTTCACTTTTTATGTTGCTTTTTGTGTTTATTCTCTTCAAAGCCCATTAGTATTTCAAGTTTTAAGTGGTTTCATCCATATAATGTCCACCAATTGCATTTTTCAACTTTTCCCTGAAATCCGCAAGTCTCATTTTAAATAGTAAGGGTTTCCTAAAATAGTGGTGACGGGGAATATGATCGTTCACTTGTTTCCAGTTCTGTGCCTCCTTTTTGCCCGCTTAATCTTAAGTCCTTCCAGAGTCCCCTTGCCTTACCAGCATCTAAATATTTTGCTACCCAGTTGCATTGAAATTAGAAGAAAAATATAAAGAAAAACACATGCATGTGTACGTTCTTTAAAGAAAAGCGGTTTGATTGTGATACTATTCTTATTTTTATTCTTGCTGGGGGTGTTAACTTTTTTTTTTTTCTTTATTATTATTATTCTTGTCCCTTTTCTGTCATGTTGCGTAGTATACTGAGTATAAGTGCAGACATTGAAACAATTGGAGAAATATTGAAGAAAATCATTCCTACATTAGAAGAGGTACTTTCTTTCCTTTTTTTTTTTACTGGGTTATGTTGTGTGGATTTTTTTTTTTTTTGTATTAAAAATAAGTGCCAATTTTTATGAATGTATTCTTTGTAGTACCAGCATTACAAGGGAAATGATTTTGATTGTGAGTTGAGGCTCTTGATCCACCAGTCTTTGGCAGGAGGCATCATTGGTGTTAAAGGTGCAAAGATCAAGGAACTTAGAGAGGTAGGTTTTTTTTTTTTTTCCCCATATTTGAAAACTTGATCGTTTTACATAGATTTCCTTAGTCATTTTGTAGTAGTGTGTATATAAACTAGTTTTATGACATCTCCACGTAGTAAATGTCAGTTAACACATGCACAGTTCACTTTAGTTAGTTTGTAAACCATCTATATTACATTTTACAGAATACACAGACTACAATTAAGCTTTTCCAGGAGTGTTGCCCTCATTCTACAGATCGTGTTGTGCTTATTGGAGGAAAGCCTGATAGAGTGGTTGAATGCATTAAAGTCATCCTTGATCTTATATCTGAGGCAAGTTTAAATTGCAAAGTTGCTTTTATACCTTTCTATGTATTTTGTATGTACTTATAATGGTTTTGCATCTACAGTCACCTATTAAAGGCCGGGCTCAGCCATATGATCCTAACTTCTATGATGAGACTTACGATTATGGTGGTTTTACAATGATGTTTGATGACAGACGAGGCCGACCCATGGGTTTTCCTATGCATGCAAGAGGTGGCTTTGATCGAATGCCTCCTGGTCCTGGTGGCCGCCCCATGCCTCAGTCAAGAAGAGACTATGATGATATGAGCCCAAGACGAGGACCCCTCCCACCTCCTCCAGGTCGTGGCAGAGGTGGCAGCAGAGCACGTAATCTTCCTCTTCCTCCACCCCCACCACCAAGAGGAGGGTAAGTACTGTTGAGTGTGTGTGGTTTTGTTTTTCTTCTTTCTTGGGGGGGGTCTAGAGCAAACTGCATATTTGCTTGTGGTTTTAGCCATTGTCTTATAAGTGTGTGGGTTTTTTTTTTTTTTTTTAGGGACCGTAGAGGGAGACCTGATCATTATGATGGAATGGTAAGGTGTTTTTTTTTTTTTTTTTGTTTTGTTTTTTTTTTTTTTTTTAATTTAGATTTTGCATTTGACAGTCTCTGCAGTAAAGCAGGTTGACTCTTCTCCATTCAAACCTTGCAATTCAGCATTTTTAATACAGATACAGAAGTGTAGCAAAATTGTAGCATTTTACCTGTGAGTAAAGTACAGATTTATCAAAGTAGTTGTGGTATGCCCAATGGTTACCACAGGGCTAAAATATTCATGTACCTCCTTTTTTTTTTTTTTTTTTTTTTTTTTTTTTTTTTTTTTTACCCCTTTTCTACGTTCTGTTAAGAATGCGAAATCACTTGCAGTACTATTGTATATGGAATGCTTTAGAGTACAGGGCAGTTTTTCTCTATTCAAACCTTGCAATTTAGCATTTTGACTTTTTTCATCTTTGTTAGTAGTGTAGCAGAATTGTAGCATTTTACCTGTGTGTAAAGTACAGATTTATTGAATTTATGTGGTATGTGCAATAGTTTGATATCTCATAGGGCTAAAATGTTGACATGTGCCCCATTGTCAACCCCTTCTACAGTCTGTTAATAAGGAATTCATTTAACAAACATTCAGAGGTATTCAGAACTATTGAAGCTTTCAGTTAAAAAAAAAAAAAAAACAACACAAAAAAAAAACAAATTGTATGTGGTGGGTGCAAAGACCTTTTTAGCATACTGTCTGTAATCTGGGGTAAAACTTACAAATTTTTTTTTTCCCTCTTTCCCCATTTATCTCAAACTGCAGGGTGGCTCAGGATATGGTGAGTAATCCTTACTATTTTTTTTTTTTTGTCTTCAGAGTTGATATTCTAAATCTGGGGGGTGGGGTGTGCAGTCCTTTCTACTGGTACTGTATATATGAAATATGTACACTATGTAGTGTAAATAATTCTTTTTCACACACAGGTCGTGGATCATACGGTGATATAGGTGGACCTGTCATAACCACACAAGTAACAATTCCAAAAGATGTAAGTGTGCTTTTCATGTTAAAATATACTCCGTGCTTATTCAGTTAATTACTTGTGGTTCACAGTTTCCCTTCTGGGCTTTAGTTGGCAGGCTCAATTATTGGAAAAGGAGGGCAAAGAATTAAACAGATTCGCCATGAATCCGGAGCATCAATCAAAATTGATGAGCCATTGGAAGGATCGGATGATCGTATCATTACCATCATAGGCACCCAAGACCAGATACAGAATGCCCAATACTTGCTTCAGAACAGGCAAGTACTAGCATGTTGATTGTGTGTATATATACATTTTTAAAATGTTACACTTAACAATATCTCTATGTAGTCGTTTTTTTTTTTTTTTTTTTTTTTTTTTTACTGCCTTAACTTTTTTCCCTTTTTTTTTAGATTTTCCTTCTCTGGTATATACTAATTTTATAAAATGTTGTCAGACTAATTTTGCTTCACAAAATTAACAGCTCTACTTTCTGTCGTGAAACGACTGCAAAAGATTTGTTAAATCAAGATTTTATGAATGTTCCTGTAGATTAATTTTAAATCTAGAAGAGATCAGTGGAAGTTGGTTTAGTTCTGTGTGGAAGACTAGTGATTTTGTTGTTTTTAGATAACGGCAATGACAACAAATCACGGTCTGCCATATGGCACAGACCATGCCTCTACAGGACATGTTACAATGGGTTTTGATTTGATGTCATGATGCAGCGTTTCACAGCTTTCTCCTATTTACTAACCACTTGTTTTCTGCTTTATATATAATAGCATGTTTTAGCGTGTGTATATATTTTTTCTTTAATTTTTTTTCCTGTAAATATTACTAACTCCTCATAATAACCATACCTGTTAACTGCATTATATATTTTATTTTTGGTCTTTCTCTCCCTTTTTTTTTTTTTTTTTTTTTTTTTTTTTTTTGTTTTTTTTTCGTTTTTTTTTTTTTTTTTGTTTAAGAAAATGCACTTACAGGTTCTAATGCAAGGTTTTCTTTTTTTTATAGTGTGAAGCAGTATTCTGAAGATTATGCTTATGGGTTTTGACTTCTAAACATTGAGAGGCACATGCTCAAGGGTTCTAATGTAAGATTCTCTTTTTTTATAGTGTGAAGCAGTATTCTGGCAAGTTTTTCTAAGACTAGTGAAGAATGAAGGAATCCTACATCCCTTTTTTTTTTTTTTTTTTTTTTTTTTTTTTTTTCTTTATCTGCGCTTCTGATTAAAAAAAAAAAAATTATAGTCAACATTCCTCTGCTTCATAGGTGTAATACAATTGAGGCATAGACAGACTGGCGTTTGATATGTTATGGCCTAGAACTGAAACAAAAGCAGTTTATATATATTTTTTTTATATATATAGTATTGTAGCTGGAACAATCCAGTATTAAGTGGGGCATCTTTAAAAGCCGTTTTCATGATCTAACTTTTGGTGTTTTGGAGATTTGTTTTTAACTGATGGATGCTTTATCTGATTTTGTATGTTAAAGAGACCTACCAGTTATCAGTATCCCACCCCAGTGTTGGTGGAAGTAACTTGTTTTTGTAAAAAAAAATTTTTATTTTTTTTTTTTGTTTTGAAATAAATTTAGTGAACTGTGGGTTTGTTTTTTTCCTACTTGCCTTCACATTTTATCTATAGATAAGAATTTGTAGACTTGTAGCCTGAAATAGCTTCACTTACTAAAAGATCCACCCCTCTTTTTCCCTGCACTGTTTCCATAGATTCTCCAGTGCTGAACATGTTTTCTTTTCTTTTACAGGGTTAAAATATGGCTCTAGTACAGACAATGCTTCAGCAGAAGAAGAGATCACAGAGCAGTGCTGAAATTTAGCTCTTTGCACTTGAGTCTGGTTGTTTTACAGTAATTTCTATTCTCACAATAAAACTGTTTTTTTTTTTAATGAGGTTATTTGTCTGTTTCTGAACTATAATTTTCAAATCTAGATGGGATTTTCGATTCTCTAACTTTTTTTTCTTTTTTACTCCCCCATCCTCCAAACATTTGAATCGGTTTGCCTATTCTCAGTCTATTTAGAGTAATATAAGGTTTATTCTACAACTACACAATTGTACATGCTGTGTCAATTAATCGGGCACTAAAACGTACATAACGGTGCGATGAGACTTGAATGTTTTCCCCCCCATTTTTAGATTTGAAAAGCTAAATAGCCTTCCATGTAAGGTTTGTCAAGTGCAACGTATGCTTAACTTCATCACTGCCTGGTTACCTTTCTTTTTTGAGCATGGAATGCCTGTATTGTCACAGAGAATGGTTAGATATGCAAGACTTTCTTTTCACACATTTAAAGTAATGTTACAGTTAACAGCGTAGCCTTTTTAGTAGAGGACTTTGGGAACAACCTTATTTTAGGCAGCTTCTTTAGTGACCCTGGAATATGCAGGAACAGTTTCACAAGGTTACATCTTGGAGGGTTGTCTTTCTAGGTTCTTCCCCCGGGAGGCAACTGCATTTTGGTTACCTTACACAACTTAGTAAACAATGTAATCTGTTATTCCTAATTGGGCTAAGCCTTTGTGCTTTGTTTTGATTTTTGTGTATATCCAGAACAAAATATGAATTTCTTTTTCAGGCTTAAGTGGATTCCAAAATATTTTGTTTAGAGCAGCTACAATGAAAAACATGGAATGCTTTCCTCCTCTTTTCGTTGCTTATGGATTACAAACCAAGATCTGGATCTCTGGATGCATTTAATATTAACCAGAAGCGCTAAGAATCCACAATCTGCGGAGAATACCCCAACTCCAAGAGAATTGTACAGAATTAGTAGAGCTGAATGAATATAACTGCTTTATGTTAAAGATAATTATATTTTTTTTGTTATGTTCCAAGTTTAGTTATGACATGGAGAATGAAGCTCAGCTTAAGCTGTCCTGTGCAGATCTTGATTGATGGGATATCTATTGATTTTTTTTTTTTTTAAGGAGCAACTAAAGTTAAATTTTTTGTATATTCCAACAACTTTTTTTTTTTCTTAATTTTAGAATCTTGTGTTTTGTGGGTTTTCCCCTCCTGAAATGTCTGTTGCAATTGGGGATTTTGTGTTCACTGTAACAATGTGCCGACTGTACACATTGCTGTTTTTATCACTTTTACATTGGTATGTTGTAACTGAAAATGGTCACTTGTGTTAGTGTATTGAGATATGACCAGCTGTGCTCTCAGTTTTTATCAATATTAAAAGTTTAAAGGATTTTTTATTCCTTTAGATGTAGCCAAGTGCGCAGTGAAACATTTGTTTATCTGACTAAACAACAGAATTGAAATTTAAACTAGCGGTTGTCTCTTGCATTCTGTCCAGTATGAAGATATTAGCCAGTGCTGTAGGTCTTCAATAGGTAATTAAGGAATGATTTTAGTATACTTGTGAATTCTCAAACTAATTTTCCAGGTTCAGGTTAAAAGCAAATAAAAAGTTGTAGCACTTGCATCAATCTTACTGTGCCCCTCCCCATCTTTTCAGGTTTCAAATAAAAATGGGACACTTGGGGTTTCAAGGGTTGGGTTTTTTTTTTTTTTTTCCTTTTTTCTGCCAGTAGCAGTCAGTAACAATTCATGGGCATAGTTGCTAAAAGCTGCAAGTATGGGTGCTGTGAGAAATTCTGAGTGTGAAGTCATGGGGTGGTTTTAAGCTTTCTGGAAAGTGATGTCTAGTGTCCACTTAAATGTGAATATGCAAACTTGTTAGTGGTTAAGTGATTGAAGAAAAGGCAGAATAACTCATAGGGCAGGTTGCTGAAAACAGAAGTGCTCTTTTAATTGTTTTGGTCATGTGGCATCTTCATCCCTATATTAACTTGCAGTAAAGGTATTTTTGTCAGCATTAAATGTACATTTTCAAGGGAGGTGGGGTTTTTTTTTCTTGTTTTTTTTTTTTTTTAAAAAAAAAATTCTCAAACTGACTATTTAAAAAAAAAAAAAAAAAATGCACACCAAGGATTTTTTTTTTTTTTCCTACTTCAGAATGGTTGATTCCTGCCCAGAACCACTTGAACATTTTAGCAATTTTGTCTCGCAGCTAAAGGAAATGAAATGCTGCATAAGGTTTCTAATAGTGTTTAAATACCTTTCTTTATTGTACAGTAGAGGACATGGGCATCTTCAGCATATAAATGAATCTGTTATGATTTGAAGATCTGTATCCTGTACTGTGCTCCCAAGAAAAGTATTTTACAGGTATGCAAAAAATAGTTGTGATCTCTACACCCTGGCTCCTGTGTCAGTGAGCAGATGGGACTGCTGCCAATTTGAAAGGGGTAAGTTGACATTACAAATCTGGGTTTTCAACCCCCTTGGCAAGCTTCAGCTTAGTGATCACATGCCTGCACCAAAGTTGAAAGAATTATTTACAATGAGCTCTTTAATAAACAGTAGGGGGGGAGGACAACTTTGTAACCTAAACTGAGGAATACCTTTTTAGTAAATGTCACTTTATTTAGTGCCTTTTATTTTAAAGGTAGCTTCTCTAAGCACTTTACAAAGCGCAAACAATTGACAGAATACAAAAAACAGACAATTAGGTGAAGACTGTTTGTTAGATTAGATTTTCATCAGTTTAAGGAACATGACTAATCTTTGGAAGTGAATTCCAGGGTTTTGGAGCCTAGCAGGAGACTGCTTTGTCTCCCCTTGAGTGTAGGGGACACACACAGACCAGAATGGAGGTTACGGGGGGGGGGAGTAAGTTAATAAAAATTCAGACAGATAAGCTTTAGCACTGGTTCACAGCAGTGTGGCTTTGAGCTGTGCTACTCAGTGTGACTTTGAAGCCAACTATTCAGTGCAATTTAATTGCAGCTTGCTGACATTCTGTGCAATTACATTTAACATGTTAATGCCAGTCCTGCAGAAACCTTTCAGGGTCACTACTTGCTTCACACCAATTTAAATAGTTCCATTGCCACAAATGGGGTGAGACTTTGAACTGTCAAGCTGCATTATAGGTTGCACAGGTGCGAACCAGGGCTTAGTGGCATCAGAAAAGCTTTATAAGTTTCAATTTAGCATTGATTTAAAGATGTGTTGAAATCAAAACTGTTTAGAAGGCTCCAAAGGAACCATATACTAGTGTGCAGCAAATTTTTTGTAAAGACAGGAGTCCTGAAAACAGGAAATGTGAGGTAGTCTTATCAACTTCATGTTGTACTGCCGTCTACAGTAATGGCAAACAAAAATGCACATCAGCACAGGCATACTCTCAACTCCCACTATTGGCATGGCTTGATAGTGTCCTAAAAGAATGGAGGTTTTGCAGTTAAGACTAATCTACATTACAGGACACAGTGTTTCTTAGACCATGAGTTACTCACTGGCCACTTTAGTAAATGCATGGTAACACAAATTGCTAATCAGCCCAAGCAGAAACTGATATTTGGGCAGCAAAACAAGATAACAAGGGGATTTCAGGAGTTGAACATGGCATGGTTGTTGGTGCCATACAGGCTGGTCTGAGTATTTCAGAAACTGATCTGGGATTTTCATGCACAACCATCTCCTAGGGTTTAAAGAGAATGGGCCAAAAAAAAAAAAAAAATATCCAGTGGGGGCAGTGATATGGACAAAAATTCTGTGTTGATGTCAAAGGAGAAGGTGCAGACTGCTGTGAGAATTTGGTGTAAACATGAAAGCATGGATCCATCCTGCCTTGTATCAAATGGTTCAGGCTAATGGTGTGGGGGATATTTTCTTGGCACTAGTAAGGTGTACCTAATAAAGTGGCCAGAGAGTGTATGCCACTACCTTCAGGTGATGGGATAGTGAGCAAAGCTGTGTTAGGACTGACTCAATGTGGCTCCAGTTTTTACCTAGTGACCTTGGGTGATGAACCACTTCATTTTGAGATTTTTTTGTTTTTCAACCGGTACCTGTCAGGATCGGTCTTGTTGCCTTATGGCTCATTTGCAGTTTCTGGATTGATTATCATTGATGTACATCTTAGGAGCTGTACTTGAGAGTGGCCTTCAGGCACTGGATCCTGTATTCAGTGCTAACTCTTGTCTATAGTGCGTTAGTGGCAGGGTGCTA